ATAGCAAAAAGACTGCTTTGGAAAAGCTTTAAAATGGGACTGAAAGTGAATATTAATAGCAAAAGTAAAAAGAAATAAACACCAAAAGCTCTTTTAAATTGTAGGTGAAGGATGCATCAGTTGTACAATTTGGGTGAATATATATATACTAAGGTACCCTTATTGATCAGATATCTAAGGAAGAAACTGAAATCAACCAAAGACTGACCAAGAGAAGTAGATGGGCTGGGGCCGTAAATAAAATAATTAAGGTCAAAGCTATATTACGTTATACAAAAATAAGAGTATACAAATCTATAATTAGACTCGCAACGCTATACGCTGCCGAGATATGGACTATGAACAAAACCATACAGAACAAACTGGAAGCATGGGAAAGAAAGATATTTTACTAGGTAAAAAAAACGTAGACTAGAGTAGCTCGTACATCTAGAAATAATGCAAGGTAATAGACAAAGGGCAAAAAAAAAGAGAGGAAGACCGAGAAAGAAATGGAAGACCAAGAAAAAAAGAGATGCCAGAGAGATTGGAAGCTGACAGCTAAGAACAAGAAAGATGGAAATTATTCATCCAGCAATGGGCCTAAAAAGCCTATCGACGCTATACATATATACATACGCCATGCATTATACAGTAACCTAATAACACCATTCATTTGTACCAACATTCAAATCATTTGTCAATTATAAATATCAAATATTTAATAGAAACACTATTTATGTAGCAATCAGAAATTAACATTGCGTTCTTAGTATCGACAATAAAGCATTAAATAGAAATATATAATTTACTTATCGATTTTCTTTCATGAGTTTCAATTAAATCGTAATCAATCTAATTTCGCTATTAGTTATAGTTGTTTGAAAGATTTTAATTCAAATATTACAAATATGTATTTAAATTCTTCTTATTTATATTAGGCTGTAAAAAAATATTGTACTCAACACGTGCATGTTTTTGCTTGACCCACGGTTAATCCCGTGAACTTTTTAATTCGTAAACAAACCATAAGTTTATGTACCTATTTTATATAATTATTATTATCATGAACACTAATATTATACAAGTCTATGTACCCACAGCAGACCACTATCTATCTATCTAATTAGCCTTCTTCGGTCCATCTTTGGACATAGGCCTCCCCAATCCTTTTCCATTCTTCTCTGTCTGTCGCTACAGTCATCCACCTAGAGCCCACGTGGTTCTTGATATCATCTGCCCATCTCATTTGGGGCCTTCCTATGCTTCGTTTATATTCCCACGGTCTCCAACTTATAAGAATTTTGTTCCATCGTTCTTCTTTTTGTTGATATCTTTTGTTTTTAAGAATGTAGCTTATTTGTCAAATGCCGCCCATGCCAGTCTAACTCGTCTCGTTATCTCTGCTGTTTGGTTCTCTTTGTTAAGTTTTATAGTTTGACCACGATATATAATTCTGAACTTGTTCTATTTCATCTTGTCCGATTCTCATTGTGATGTCTTCATCTGTATTTGTTATGGTTTTGGTCTTGCTGTAATTCATATTAAGGCCTGTCTTTCTAGCTTCTACGTCCAGTTCTTTCATCATTTCAAATAATTCTTCTTTTTTATCAATTATCAATACGATATCATCAGCGTACATTAGATGGTTCAAGCGTTGTACACAAATTTTTATACCTTTTCTCTTCCCATTCTAATGTTTTAAAAAAATCTTCAAGAGCCTGATTAAAAAGTTTCGGTGATATTGTATCACCCTGTCTCACGCCTCTATTTATTTGTTTTTGTTCCTATCGATTTTGTTCCTTCATATACTTTAATTGTTGTTTTGGCTTCCTTATATATATTGGCTCTTAGTTCCGTACATCTGTGGTCAATTCTGCTGTCAATCAAAGAACTTTTCACTGCTCAATGTTCGACTCTGTCGAAAGCCTTTTCGAAATCTATGAACGCCAAATATAGAGGAATGTGGTATTCATTTGCTCGTTCTATAAGTATTTTCATACTTAGTAAATGGTCACTTGTGCTGAATCCCTTTCTAAAACCAGCTTGTTCTTTCGACTGGTATCCATCGAATTTTGTCGTCAATCTATTAGTTAAAATTTTTTTTAGGAGTTTATACATTACATTGAGGAGTGTTATAGGACGGTAGTTTTTTATGTCTGCTTTATCCCCTTTCTTGTGTAGGATAATGGTTACTGATTCCTTCCAGTTGTTTGGGATTCTTTTTTTCTTTTAATATCTTGTTAACAAGGGGATGTAGAGTATTAATTACCACTTTTCCACCATATTTCAGCATCTTTGCAGTTATTCCATCTTTTCCAGGCGATTTGTTGTTTTTTATTTCTTTCAATGCCTTCTTTATTTCTGATTTGCTTATTTCAGGCTGTAGCTCTGAGTTGACATTTTTTATTTTAACCTTAAATTGGTTTTTAATTTCTTCTGATGGTTCCGTTTTTGTTTTATATAATTCTGAGTAGAAATGGTGGATTATATTTTTGATGTCATCTTTAACGTTTGTTTCCACTCAATTTACATCTTTTATTTGTTTATTCCAAACTTCCCTAATTTCGGCCTTAAGCATTTCATGTTTTTGTTGTTCTGTATTACTTCTTCTATTTTTATTTCTTGTTCTTTTCTCTTATTTTCTTTTATCATTCTGTTTATTGTTTTATTGATTTCTACATATTCTATAGATTTTTTTTTGCCTTCTTCGTTCTGCTTCCTTCTTTTATTCCGCACCGTAAAGTGTAATACTTTGGACTATACTACCGTAAATGTGTTTTTTGGTTTCTCATCGAATTGCTTTTTGCCACAGAATAGAGTTTAAGGCACGGGTCGATGCTCTAGCCTTGTTTATTCTTTCCCTGATTTCATCTGCGCTATTTCCCTTCTTATTGAAAATGACCCCCAAATATTTGCAGAATTGCACGCCTTTGATTTTGTCGTTTTTCAAGACTATGTCACATATTTCATCTGTTCCCACTGATAGATATTCAGATTTTGTCATATCCATATTTAGACCTGCCACTTCATATTCTTCTTGCAGTTTTCTTACCATGTAGCTAAGATCGTCTCTGTGTTCGGCAATTACGCATTACATAATTATAGCATGTTTTCTTCAACCGTTATTCCCATTATTCTACTTTTTTTTACCCATTTCACCAAGGATCTGTCCAAATAGATTTTAAATAAGGTGGGTGACAGACAGCAACCTTGTATTAGTCCCTTTGTTGTTTGAAAAGGGGAGGTGATTTCTTGTCCCATTTTAATTCTTGCAAAGTTTTGTTCGTAGTATTTTTGAGTGGCGTTAATAGGAATTGGGTTTATTTTCAAGTTACCCATTTATGTCCATAGTTGGGAGATCGGTACACTATCATATGCTTTCTCCAAATCTATTAAAACTATATGGGTATCTCTATTTCTCTGCACTCGTTTTACCATTGCAATTTTTAATGTGAAAATATTATCCATAGTGGAGCGTCCGGTCCACTGTTGACCAAATAGATTACATATTAGTCAACAAAAGATTTCACAATGCAACCATCAGTGCAAAAACATATCCTGGAACTGACATCAATTCCGATCATAATCTTGTTGTTGCAAAAGTTCGCGCAAGATAGAAACTAATAAAGAAACAAAAACCTCAACACCAACTATTAGACATTCAATTATTGAAAAACGACACCATACATCAGACAGTAAATAAAGAATTAAACAAAAATTTAGGAAATATCTACCACAATAGAATTAGCGAGTACGATGACATAAACGTTCTGTGAAAAACTATTAAAGAACAAATAAACAATGTAACGGAAAAACATCTAAAAGTAACACCTAGAAATAACAAACAGGAATGGATGACAGAAGAAATTTTACAATTAATGAACAAACGAAGAGAATCTAAAGGAAAAATGACAAGGACGGAGAATACAAAAGACTAAATAAAATAATTCGAAAAAAAAACCGAAGCAATAGATTTAAGTACCTGGGATGTTGGATCGATAGCAGCCTAAATCCTGATCTAGAAATAAGATCGAGAATAGAACAGGCCAGAAAATCTTTCGAAAAAATAAAAAACTGCTTTGTGATTCTCGAATAAAACTCGAAATTCGACTACGTTTATCAAAATGATACTTCTGGTCGACTCTTCTATATGCAGTTGAAACGTGGACCCTTAAAACATCAACCGTAAATAAATTGGAGGCCTTTGAAATGTAGATCTACCGGAGAGTACTCAAAATTTCATGGACATCTCATACCTGAAACGAAGACGTGCTGCATAGAATAGACAAGGAAAGAGAACTTTTTAACACAGTAAAAGTTAGAAAATCATCATACCTAGGCCACATACTGAAAAATAATAAGTACCAATATGCCCAACTTATAGTGAAAGGAAAAATCAAGGGAAAGGGAAGCCTAGGAAGGAAAAGACTATCGTGGCTCAGAAACATCCGACAATGGACAGGGCTAAATTTTGAACAGCTAATAAGAACAGCTGAAGATAGAGAAGAGTTTAAAATTGTAGTAGCCAACCTCCATTGGGGAGAGGGTACTTTAAGAAGAAGAAGGAGCGTCCGGCCCTAAATCCCGCTTGTTCTTCGGGTTGTTTATCTTTAATGTCATTACTAATCTATATAAAGCATCAGTTAATAAAAATAACTAGAATGATCGCCAATATTTGAAACAATTAGGCACCAAAAGAAGAAAAATTATTAACATATTTAGGACAATATAAAATTTTATATTAAAACATCTTTTTTGTGCATCTTTAGCAAATTTTAATTTTTTCTCTATACAACTAGAAAAACAGGAAATAAAATTTCAAGCATTTCACATTAACAATGCCATATTTACGGTTTCCAATACTCATTCTACATTCACTTGTACAAACATTATTTTTTATGAATTTTAATCGGAAATATGCCCTGCAACCTTTGGATGCACTGAAATTAAAATAATATTTTTTTATGGAAATAATATTATTCTACGACATGGTAGGGCAACTATAAAAGATTAATAGACAAGGTTTCTAGATCATTGAGAGTAGAACAATAATTAGACATAGTGGTGGTACAATATACGGGGAGAATAATATCGAGATAGTGATTTGGTCTAGTTTTTATAGTAAGTTTATGTTACATCAATTAAAATAGTTATTTGTATCAAGAATTGCAATTTGTATGTGTTTGTGGTGGCTTTTTCAATTTTCGTCATAGTGGTCGTCCATTATATTATGTACATTAGAAAAATGAAGTTGTTATATCTTCAATAGGCTTACCCTTCTGAGGATTGTGTTTTAAAATTAGCAAAATTAATTAACATAATGACATTATTAAATTTGATTTTCTTTTTCGTTCTGTCAAAACTTATTACTAAGGTTTACATGTCTCTTCTATTTTTTATATTTATTTTAGGTTAGTTTGACACAGGAAGTGTCTATGTTTATGCAAACCTTCATTGCAAATTTTGATATAATATGAAGAAATGTTTCGTTTTTAGTTATTAAACAAGCAATAGAGTTTATGTTACTAAGTAATTAAGAAAGAAAAACACAAATAAAAATAAATTTTATCTCATTTGAACTTGAAATAATCCCTTTAATATGCGTAACTTTTAAGAACTTTTATATTGTTATTCTTTTATTTAAAAGAAGATTACTGTATATAGCACTAAGATTTTCAATGTCTTCTCTTTTGTTTAAGGTGTTTTGTGTAGTTTAAATTAAACACATTTCTAGAAACAGTCTTTTGTTGTAATTTCTTTCCCTTCTCAATATTTCTGTTTGATCATAGTTAGGCTATTATTATTGCTAGATACAGTAATCTTAAGGGTAAGCCTATTGAAGATATAACAACTTCATTTTTCTAATGTAGTTTTTATGTTAATTTTTAGTACGTTTTGAAAAAGAGTAGGTACAATAAACTCGAAAGCTTAACAAACCTAAAAGAGTTTTACTTAAAGGCCAATATTGACTACTAAACCCAAGATATACGTATATATATATATTATATATATATATATATATATATATATATATATATATATATATATATATATATATATTGCACCATCAATACAAGTCATACCTCAAAACGTTGCTTTTTGTAAAATCAACAATTTAATTTTGTTCTAAAATATAATTTTTTAATAACTCTTAAAAATAAAATTATTGCAGTAATTCTTTTTTGTGGGTTTCTTTGGTTTTTACTTTTCATGTTATTTTTATACAATTTCAACTTGTGATCGCGTATGTCACTGCTTTATCTCCTGTGACCTAGTTATCCAATTCTACATTGCTTTATTTTGGTCACGATATCTTCTTTTAGTACTTTTTTAATCTCTGCAGTTTATGTTTTTCGTGATCTTCTTTTCCACTATCCGTAAGTCTCCTTCATCGTTTTTAGTCATTATGGTTATCGTTTTCAGTTTATTTAATTTGACTTTAGTAATTAGCGCGTCTTCTTCTCTTTTTTGTATGTGTCCAAGCTATCTCAGTCTTTGTGCTTTAATAAATTTTGTCTTACCTTTCGGATATTATTTCTTATTTCATGGTTCATCAATCTTCTATATTCTCCTTGTTTTGTATTTATTCTTCTTTTTCTTCTTTTTATATAGACATAACTCTGTTTTTCGATGTGCTTCCAATAAGTTGTCGTTTCATCGTTTTCGTTGTCTTCCTACTGATCTTCTTTGTATTGGGGAACCATCTCTTACCGTCTTTACTACTCTATTTGTTGTCATTCGACGTATACGTTCGTTCCATTCTACTCTTCTATTTCTTATCCATTTATTGATGTTGTCCACCTTACATCTACGTCGTATATCTGTACTTCTAGCTCTGTCCCATAGTATCTTACCATAAATTTGTGTTTTCATCTCTGCTGTTTCTAACATCCTTTTTGTCCTCATTATATCAGGTCTTGTTTCTGCCGCGTATGTCATTATATTATGGGTGTGATGACTGTTTTGTAAATTCTGCCTTTCGTTTCTTTCCCGATATTTTTATTTCTCCATATTGTTTCATTTAGGCTCTGTTTGCTCTATTCACTTGATCTTTTACTTCGGTTTCGAGCTTTCCGTAGCTAGATAATGCGATGTCTAGATATTTAAACTCCATCACTTGTTCTATTATCTGACCTTCCAGATCCAATTCACATTTTGGTGAATTTGCTGTTGTAACCATGTATTTTATCTTTTTTTGGGAAATTAACATGTTAAATTTTCTGGTGGTTATATTAAATTGGTGCAGCGTACGTTGTAAATCATCTTCACTTGGAGAGAGTAGTAGTAGAGATGAACAATATAGGACTCAATGAATCTCCCTGTCTTACATCATTGCTAACTTCAATAGGATCGGTTAATTCTTATACTTTTACCCTTATTGTGTTCTTTTGGTAGATATTTTCGATCGTTTTGATTATTCCTAGAAGTATTTCCCTTGCGTAGAGTAAGTGGATAACGTCTTTTAATTTGACCCGGCCAAATGCCTTTATAAGGTACACGAAACATAGATATGCCGGTTTGTTGTATTCTAATGATTTCTCTTGCACTTGCCTCATTATAAATATAGCATTGGTGCATGATCTTCCCGACCTAAAACCTTTATGTTCTTCTGCTAGTGTTTCATTCAATTTATTTGCTATCACTTTGGTTGTTAATTTTAGTGTAATGTTTAATAAATTAATTCCTCTGTAATTTTCTGGGTTCGCTTTGTCTCCCTTTTTGAAGAGAGGTATTAGGATGATTGATCTCCATTCTTGACGAATTTTGTTTTGGATTAGTTTTAATAGTTGTTTGGTTAGATCTGGTCCTCCGTACTTTAGGCGTTCGTTAGGTATTCTCTCCTCTCCTGGTGATTTTTTATTTATTAATTTCCTTGATGTTTCCTTTACCTCTTCCTACTCAATATTTATTTCTTCGTTTGCCGTATCGAAAGTAGTCTACTCATGTTTCCTTCGGAATGCGTTTCGTTTTTATTAGTTCGTTTATTTTTTTCTTTGTTCTTTAATCATTCTCCATATTTGGTTTTGTGTTCCGTAGAAGTCGTGTTTCATCTGTTTTGACAAATTTTGCCAGTGTTCCTTTTTTATTTGTCCAACTAAAGTATTTGTTTTATTTCTGATTCGTTTATAGTGGTCTTATGCCTGTTGTGTTTGTTGTGTTCTGTATTGTAAAAAGGCTTTCTTCTTTTCTTCACATTTTGTCTTCACTTCCTCTTTAAACCATGGTGTTTTTTTTGATATTGGTGTTCGTTACTTTCCTCTTTGATGATGCTGTTGCTGCGTTAAGTATGTAATTTTTGAGTTTTTTCCAGTTTTCCTCGGTGTTATCGTTTTATAATATTTCATTCCCAACGATATTCTCTGATATTCTTTTCTTGTATAAATATTCCGTGTGGATTCCGTATTTAGTCCTTCGACTTTAATTTTTGTTTGTGTTGGCGCCGCTTTCTTCGGTGGAAAGTATTTCAGGATTATTCTTATTTTACATAATACTAGGCTGTGGTCGCTGCCTACATCTGCTGAGTTGACGCATCTTACGTCCATTATTTTTGATAAATGTACATCTCTTTTGGTTATAATATAATCTATCATAGATTTTTGTCCACGGATGTTATTAAATGTATATTTGTGTTGGTCTTTGTGGTCAAAAAATGTGTTATTTATGCTTTGTTCGTTATTCGTGCAGAAGTTGATCATCAGTTCTCCATTTTCGTTTTTAACATTCTCGTTATGTTTTTTTTGATGCCGGTATTACTAAATCCCTCAATATTATCATCTTTCCTGTGATTTGATCTACTACCTGTTGTAATTGGTCGTAAAACGCTTCCCTTATTGTTTGAGGCTTGTTATTTTCTGGGCCGTATACTCCGATGATGTTCAGGTCTTCCTTCTCCATTCTTATCTTTCTTCTTCTTCTTCTTCTTCTTCTTCTTCTTCTTCTTCTTCTTCTTCTTCAGATGCAAATCCAATAATGGATGCGATCACATTTTCCATTAATTCTCTATTTCTTGCAATATGTATCAGAGATTGTATGCCGTTAATCCCTGTCCATTGCCTTATGTTTCGGAGCCAGGACACTCGATTATAAGTTGGAGGAACTGGTATTTTTCATTTCGCATGATGTGACCTAGATACGCCGTTTTCCTTTTATTGCTGGTTTCGAAAAGTTGGCGTTCTTGGTTTATTCTTTTAAAGAAATCTATATTTGTGATTTTCGCTGTCCATGGTATTTTTAGGATACGGCGATAAAGCCACATTTTGAAAGCTTCTAATCTGTTTATATCCCTCGTTTTGAGTGTCCAGCCCTCTACGCCATATAGCAGCACTGACCATACGTAGCACTTAGTAAACCTTAGTCTCAGTTGAAGATCGAACTCTGAACAAGTCAGTTTCAGAAATTTCGTAAAATTCAAGAACTTCTTGAATTTTACGAAAGCTTGTCGAGCTTGCTCAATGCGACATTTTACTTCCCTGTCCGATGCCCAGTCTTCAAAAATCCACGATCCCAGGTATTTAAATTTACTCACTCTTTCAATGGACTTAGTATTCAGTGTTATGGTGGAGTTTTCAAGTGCATCCAAGTTTCTGGAGATGATCATGAATTTGGTCTTGTTGGTATTAATCTCTAATCCCATTCCCTTACTGTAGTCTCCGATTATAGTGACAAGTTGATCAATACTCCATTCACCTTGATTCCCATCTCTGCATCCTCCAAAAACTCTTAAAATATGGCTTCCGAATAAATGTTAAATAAAAGAGGGGAAAGCACACATCCCTGTCAAACGCCTCTTCCTATATGTATGGGTTTGGATATAGAATTGTCTATTTTTATCTGCATTAACTTGTGGTGTTGGACACGATCAAACGCTTTTCTTATCTTGTTACTATTCTTTCTGGTATATATGTTCAATCTTTGTGCTTTAATAAATTTTAATATGTCTTCCCTTTCGGATATATTTCTTATTTCATGGGTCATCGATCTTCTATATTCCCCTTGTTCTGTGTTTATTTGGCCTTATAATCGTAGCAGAAAAGATGTGTCTTCTGTGTATGGCACAAAAAAGCGAATTATAGCTTTTCTTTGCCATGTTGTACTGTCTTGTTTCCTTATGTCATAGTCCGATCTTAAATTTGGTCTTCTTGGTCTCTTGACAACTCTTAGATGCCCCAGTGTAATTCTAGTGGACCATCATTATCATTTGTTTTCACTAAATATCCCGCCCACTGCAATTTTAAAGATTTAGTTCTATGGATTACATCAGTAACGTTAGTTTTCTACCTGATCAATTTTATTCTTTTTCGACCTCTCTTTTTTGTACCTAGCATACATTGCTTCATTGACCTTTAAGTGACTTTGACTTTCGATATTATCTCTTTCTTTAGTGTCCAAGTTTCGCAGCCGTATGTCATGATTGGTAGTATACACTGATCGAATGCTTTTTTTCTTCAGGTCCATTGGCATCTTTGATTTGAATATAACTGAATTTCTACCAAAAGATGCCCAAGCTAGTTTCATTATTCTGTTGAGTTCTGGAAGTAAGGAGCCTGATTTAAGTATTAATTGTCCCAGGTATACCTACTCGTCTACGGTCTCAAGTGCAGGGTTGTTTATTATTACATCTTGGATATTCACTAGGTTGTTACACATGGTTTTTGTTTTTGTCAAGTTCATTTTTAGTCCAACTTCATTTCTAGCTGCATTTAGGTCACTTATAAGTTCTTTTATATCTGCAGGATTATTAGTAATAAGAATTATGTCGTCTGCAAATCTTAGATGGTTGAGGTATTCTTCATCAATGGATATTCCTTTATTCTGCCAGTTTATTTTACTGAATATATTTTCTAGATTCGCAGTGAAGGGCTTTGGTAATACTGCGTCTCCTTATCGGACGCCTCTGGTGGTGGGAAAGTCTGGAGTGTTGCAAGTTAAAATATAAGAGCATTTATTTTATTTTAATTTAATTTTATTTTAATATTGATAAATAACTAACTTTTATAATTTTTAGATCAAAAATGTCGGCCACTACCACAGCGGGCCCTGATCTAGCCCTTCAGACTGGCAGCCTATCTGCAACCAACGTCTTTGTGTTCCTTCTTCTGCCGGCATTATCGCTATGGTACATCTACTGGAAGATTTCACGCCGCCATCTTATTGAATGCGCTGATAAAATCCCCGGACCCGACGGATTACCCATTCTTGGAAACGCCCTGGAGTTTGTCGGAACCTCATATGGTATTTTTTGTTTACATAATTATATTAAGTCTATTGCTTGATTGTATTTCTAGAATAAGCCACAGTTAAAGGTTAAAATAAGTTTATTGACGTTTCAATTGCCACTTCGGAAGTCGTTTTCAAAATACTTGTTTGTATTTTGAGAACGATTTTCGAAGTGAAACGATTTCCGAAGTGGAAATTAAAACGTCAATAAATTTATTTTAAACTTCAATTGTGGCTTGTTCCCATTAAAATAGTAATTACTTTAAAATGCGACAAAAAAATAGCTACAGAACAATACATTTCTAGATTTTAAGAATGCCAGAATAATTGGAAGGTATACTCTACCGAATGCCAGTGTCCAGTGGCCAATGCCACGAAACCTATAGACCTATTGTTATGCCGTTTTTTTTTCGATGGTTGGCGATCATTATATTATTTGTACTCTCTTACTGCTAGTCAAAAATTAAGCAGCACATTTAGTGAACTGAGTTCACTTGCCTTGAATTAAGAGACTAAACAGACTGCCGATCGATCATAAAATTGGTAGAGTTGACCTGTACCTAATGCATCGCCATCGTTAGCTCTGTAGACAGTTAGAACTGTAGAAATGAGGCTCATTAATATCGAAAAAATTATTTAAGGCAGTTTATACTATGTTTTTTTGTTTAAATATTTTTATAATGTATAATCTTAATCAAACCACTCTCTTAAATTTCTCATCCAGGATATTCTTCTACGGCCTGTATTTCTGCGTCCTTGGATCTTTCCTTGCATTATATTTTGTAGGAACGTGTACTTTTTTCCTCTCATCAGGTGGCCTAAGCATTCAAGTTTTCTCTTTTTTATATTCATAATAACTTCTGGATCGTTATTTGTTCTGCGTATTACCTCTTCATTTGTAATTCTATTCACCTAACTTATTCTTAGTATACGGCGGTAGCACCACATCTCAAAGCTTTCAAGATTTTTAATATTCCTCTGTTTAAGAGTCCATGCCTCAACACTGTAAAGCAAAGTACTGAATACATAGTATTTTAACATTCCAGTTCGTAGATGAATACTAATATCACGATTACAAAATAATTTTTTCATTTTTATAAAGGTAGACCTGGCAATTTCAATACGTCTTTTTATCTCGTGATTTTGGTCAGCTGTTTCATTAATGAGGGTTCCCAAGTATTTTTATTCGCTTACTTTTTCAAGTTGGGTAATTGTGATACTGGTGTCATGAACTGGATTCTTACTGAAGGTCATATATTTGGTTTTTTTGACGTTCATCCTTATGCCGTAGTTATTACATATCTCATTCATACTTTGAACTAGATGTTGTAGATCTTCCACTGTTCTTACCATTATCACAGTATCGTCAGCATATCGAATGTTATTGATAACTTCTCCATTGACTACTATCCCTTCGTTTGCATGTAAGAGAGCTTTTTGGCATATTTATTCGCTGTAGATATTAAAGAAAAGCGGTGACAATATACAACCCTGTCGTTCTCCTCTACGTATTTTTATTTCGTCCGATGTTTGGTCTTCTACTTTTATATTAGCTCGCTGATTCCAGTACAGATTTAATATTATTTGCATGTCTCTGGTGTCGATGTTCTTACCTTCCAGGATTTCTTTTAGTTGATTGTGGCGTACTGTGTCAAAGGCCTTTTCAAAGTCTATAAAGCAGGCATGCCCCTCTTGGTTAACATCTAGACATCTCTGTTGTAGAACATTTAAGGCAAAGACAGCTTCTCTTGTACCTAATCCTTTTCTGAATCCCATCTGTGTATCGTTAATATCGATATCTAACTTTTGATAGATTCGGTTGTGGATGACTCTAAGAAATATTTTAAGCAGGTGACTAATCAAGGAGATTGTTCGATGATCTGAACATTGCATTGCCTTAGTTTTCTTCGGTATGGTGACATACGTAGACAGTAACCATTCTTGAGGTATTATACCAGTACTGTATATTGTATTGAATAGATGTAATATTATGGTTATGGATTTATCATTCAAAAGCTTCAACAGATCTGTAGGAATTTCATCAGGTCTATTTGCTTTTCCATCTTTAGCGTTTCTTATTGCGTATTCTACTTCTTCTTTCAATATGTCTGGCTCAGTTGCATTGATTATCTGAGTTAAGTTGTTTCTATCGTCTTCAAATAATTCATTCAGGTATTCTGTCCATCTTTTTATTTCATTCTCTAGATCTACAATAAAATTTTCATATTTGTCTTTAAATTTACCTATTTAACATTTCTTTATGCTTCCTGTTTTATTCTCTTTTTTATGTGTTTATTTATTTCTTTGTATTTGTCTGGGTAATTCTTCATCTTTCTTCTTTGTTCTATCAAGTCTAGTATATCTTGTGTCATCCACCCCTTATTCTTTGTTGTTGTTTTTGTAAGATGTTTCTTTGCTGCTGTTTGTATAGCTGTATTTATGTACTTTAATTTTTGGTTAACGTTATTTGTATCGTTAATTTGTTGCTGCACTGAACGGAGGTTTTCATTCATTTCTTCTCCTGTTTCTTGTCATATATTTTTGTTTCTAAGTTTATTTAAATCTAGTGCCTTTCTGTGTGGTCTTCTAATCTGTTTTGGTCTCGCCTCTATCACAGTAACTGACGGGTTATGATCTGAGCCTATATCAGCTCTTGGGTATGTCTTAGTATGTTTAACAGCATTACGTCAAGTACGGAATGTTATTTGTATAAATGAGAAGCAGATATCGTGCAATGTTAAAGTTTGCCCTTTTTCGAATACATATAGTGGATAAAATAGAATATAGAAATATATAATATTTTACTTAAACCAAATTTAACGTAAGTTAATCAATTGGATCGCTTAAATCTTCCTTGTCCTTTTTTTTTAATTCTTCTTTGTAATTTTATTCTTCTGCTAATGTTTTATGTTCATTTAGTACGCTTTGATGCTTCAGAAATTGAACAGTAACTTTCCGTTTGGGTATTGAACATTCAGTTGTCTCTATTTGATTTCGCTTATTACGTGATTGATTATTAGTGCAGTAAAGTCTCCAAGCAGTAAATTATTTGTCTCCCCATCTTACTAGATCATACTCTCCTCGTAGCTATAGTAAGTTTAAACTTAAAGTCAATATAAGGTTGAATGTTCGAATAATTAAACTTTGAGGGTATACAAGGCAACTATCGAACACGGTGATTAATTTAATCTTGCCCAAGTACTTTCAATCAATAGATCATCTTCAGGGGCATCTGAAATAAGCCAAGAAACGTTTTTTATAAACAGGAAAATTAATTCACTTGGATAAAAAACTCCAAGTTTATGGTTGAAAAAAAATTTTTATATGTGATAAACGTTTATAGACTTACTTCGTCAATTGTGGACTATCCGACATAGTAGAATGTCATAAATTTAAAACTGGACATAACAATACAAAATACACTACACTAAGACAAACAAACACTTTAAAATTTATATGGCGAAGCTACATATTGTGAAGAAGCCGGAGACAGAATGGGCTATCAGACCGTCAGACCGGGAGCCCATTCTGTCTCCGGCTTCTTCACAATATGTAGCTTCGCCATATAAATTTTAAAGTGTTTGTTTGTCTTAGTGTAGTGTATTTTGTATTGTTATGTCCAGTTTTAAATTTATGACATTCTACTATGTCGGATAGTCCACAATTGACGAAGTAAGTCTATAAACGTTTATCACATATAAAAATTTTTTTCAACCATAAACTTGGAGTTTTTTATCCAAGTGAATTAATTTTCCTGTTTATAAAAAACGTTTCTTGGCTTATTTCAGATGCCCCTGAAGATGATCTATTGATTGAAAGTACTTGGGCAAGATTAAATTAATCACCGTGTTCGATAGTTGCCTTGTATACCCTCAAAGTTTAAACTTAAAGTGCCCAACAAACGAAGAGGGACAACGAGAATAAAACCAAGCAAAAAAGACGACCTTCTTCAAGAAGTACAAAAAAGTATGCCCTGTATTGGTAAGGGTACATCACAAGAAATATTAAACTATTAAATATTGTATAACAATACCAATTAGTCACCCAAAGGTAAATAATCTAATAAAACAAAAAAATTGGATATTAGATGAAACTCTTAAAATAATTAAGAATAGAAGAAATTTTTGTCAAAGGGGTGTACGCTGTGAAAGGGAAAAAGTCAATTTAAGAGACCTCGATAAAGAAATAAAACGACTATGTAAGATTGATAAACATCAATACCCTCCAATATATGCAAACAAATTGAAAGCCACAATCAAAACATCAATTCATAAACATCAATACCCTCACAATATATGCAAAGAAATTGAAAGCCACAATCAAAACAATTAGCCAAGAGGTCTATTTAAAAAAATATGATACATTAATATGATACAAGATTAATATGGTACAAATATGATACAGACTTTAAAGCCAGAACTTGTGCTATTGAAAAACATACAGAAACTCTGAGAACCAACAGAGAAGATATAGTTGAGACTTCGTGAGCCTTGGCCCGCTTCAAAACATTCTTCCATCCTTCCCTATCGAGTGTCTGTCTTCTCCAGCCCCTCACTCCAATCTCCCTGAGATCTTCCTGTATATCGTCCAGATATCTGAGTTTAGGTCGCCCCCTTCTTCTTCTTCCGACCGGCCTATTTAGCATAGTTATTTTAGTGGGATCACTCTCATCCATCCGCATAACGTGGCCCACCCACCTTAGGCGGTTTATCTTGATGGTCTTCACAATATCTGCATCACCAAAAAGTCTATAGAGTTCACTCCTGAAGATATCAAAGAAAAATGTAACATACTCATGAACGGAGATTGCAGATCAGTAAACTCAAGTATAACAAAGTACCAGGTCCAGATATGATAACAGCAGAAATGTTTAAAGCTACAGAAGAAACCGGAATAAAATTGTTTCACTTGCTCTGTAACAAAATATGGCATTCCAAGCAATAGCCTGACGCCTGGACCAAATCTACAATAACGACAATACATAAAAAGGCAGCTTCTATAAGTGCGACAACTAT